ACACATTGATAGGTTCGTAAACCCTATAACTGGACATTCGCTCTGATGTAGGTGTTCTACTCAATTATCTTTCGGCTGTGTGACTTCTGAGCCATTTCCTGTACCTTGTGCATGTCCCACCTCACCGAGTGGACGACAAACCACAATGTCACCATGTTCAGGTGATTTTCATCGTCTGGAGGTGATTGAATGCATATCTAGCCTTAACAGTGACTCGCGATGGCGTACCGATGTATCTGCCAGTGCTACTATCATCCCAGACAAGTCTGGTACCAATTTGCCTAGTCCGGAGTGATCGAAGTCTTGGTGGGCCACGGACGTGGGGATCGATTCCGTGTTTGTGTCACAATGGCGCCTCTAACACTTCCACAACTCTGCACTAATCATAAATATTTCGTTGCTATCGAACGCTACTTTACAAACATACAAGAAATTCAGATGCACAGATTCCTTTTGTTCAGTGAAATGATTTCACAAGGATTCAGAAAATTATAGTGGATAATACCCATTCCGCTGATCATTGAACAGTTACGATAACTATTGTTTTCGAAATTTCGCTCCAGAAAGTAGTTCTTTGGCTAATATTTATGCAGCTATCTTTAGAGGGCTTCGACTTTTCGTCCCATGTCGAAATGTATTTAAGAGGCAGATTCCAAAAAAAGAATGCAATTTCTTAACCTATGCGAAACAAACAATTTGAACCACCGATTTTTAATAGTAGGAACCCGGTTGATGCTTGTCAGTGCTGTACTGTGAAGACGATATTTTGAAACGAATTGGTCGGCAAAGAACGTTTTGTAGAAAAAGTAAAATGCACGGAATCAATTGAAGTCCTGAAGCACCGCACGGAAGAATTAACCTCACTCGGCAATGATATTTTATATAGGACAATTCCTGGATAACTGTTGTTGAACAAAAAATTGTTTTGCACCAGGAAGTCCATACTGCAGCTGTCGCTCTACAACATTGTAGTTGGCGAAAGTTTATATTTTTGAAAACAGACTTCATTTTAACCTCGACATTATAGTTTCGTTGCATTCAAGGTCTTACACGAGACCGTTTCCTTTGAACACGTTTTTACTAAAAACTCTTCATTCAGGTTTATATTTCTTGTCTTCCCTCTCTTCAGAGGTCATTCGAATGTTTTCAGTAACTGTTTTCTGCGATAGCCTTTTCAAAATGCAATGCTTCGCTAACTGCCAGTCAACAGTTAGTCTACTAGCGACTGCTGCAATATGGACCGTTTGAAAAAAATTGTTATCAGGAAACAATCAATCAACAGCCATCCTGTAAAAAACCACACCGGCGAGTGAGGTATTTCATACGTGCGGTGCTCAACTCTACTAGATTCGATTAGACGCGTCTACGAAGACGCACATCAGAAACAATTGCTATGGTCATCCGATTTGAATCATGGGCTGTGGCACTTTACTGAAAACCCCGTGTAAGCACACAATTGGAACAAATTATTTGGAGTCTGAAAGGAATTTGAAATATTTGGGGAGAAGACTAACATACACGGATACAAGAGGTAAATTACTCATGAGAGCCGACAACTGCTGAAGACATGGAAAGGTGTGTTCCCTGTTTATCCACCTAATCCCTAAGAAACACGCCTGGCGACCGCCAGGGAGATCTACTCCAGCAATATACAGAAAGTGCAGATGTAAACAAAGTGCGAAGGTCGTCACCTTCAATTGCCAGCGTTTTGGCAACTGTCGGTTACTCAACGTGGGTGGGGGGGGGGGGGGGGGGGGGGGCGCTGTATTGGTTGAGATAAGCAGCAGTGTAGATCGAATGCCCCCAAATCCGCTACTACACACATCAAGCAGAATAGGAGTAGATTCACCCAGCGCCACAAATATCGCTGTTAGCGTTACTTCGATAGCCACCACGGAAAGAGGCAAATATGCATTCAGTCACTTCTAGGATACTTAATGGAACTGGAGGCATAATACATCCGTAAAGGATTTATCAACGCCGAACGCTCTATCCTTTTCTTAGGTTATATGCATAACAAGGATTATCGTCTTCCCATGCGAACTATTTATGGATGTGAAATAATCACAATGATGCTGAGATATTTACAAAACTCGCCACAATCCAGATTCGAAGACTACCTCTTCCGGGGCCTCACATTTTATCCACTATACCAATAAGGTCCTTGCATTGTCTCTCACTCAGTTAGCTTTCTATCCTAACGGTGGCTTCAGTAATCACCTGCTAATGGAAATGATCTTGGGAGTACAAATTGGAATCGAACCCAGTTAAGCTGAAGCTGCAGCCGAAATCACAATGTATAGCTTTTTATTCACAGCTCATTATTCTTTCATGACAGGGTATAATGTGTAATAGAACCATAATGGTGCTCAGACGTTTGCAATTCTCGTACACCCGGCCGTATTTATGGATGGTTTACTGTCCACCTCCTCCTCCTCCAACTTATCATGTTGATTTATATAGACACTATCGTATAGTTCATCGTTTTTCGTAACATAGAAATGTGCTTCATTGGTTGGATCTTATAAAAACTAACAAAAGGACAACGCTTTCGGCCTTGATCAATATTCTTCATGGTTTCGTCATGCATTCCATACCTCTAAAGATCGTCAGAGGTGCTTGAATGCATTTCTGGCTTATACAATGACTCGCGGTGACCTACCGATGTATCCAGTCAGCCGATTACGCAAGAAAGGGGGTTTGGGCAAGCTTTAAGTTCGTGGTCGAACCAAGGACCACGTGTGTATTGCAAGGACACCTCCGAGCACTGCGCTACACGCGCTAAAAAACTGTGATAAGGAAAGGAAAATGAGTAAAGTATGTTTTAAGAGAGTGAGCTATTTAAAATTGAAAGAGAGAATGAGGCACTAGTAGAAATACGCTATTCACACGTTCTCCTCCATACAGCGAATTCTCATGAATGCCTAAATTCCCGAACCGTTCGTGATTTCTGCGCAACTACGATTCACCGTAGAGCTCAGATTCGATTCCTCGCTCAGTCTTACTCTACATGACGGACGAATGAATCCTGATTATCGATCGATTTCTCGTTCATCCTGGAAAGGTAATCTTTGCAAATACTTTATTTTGTAAATGAAATATAGTTGGTGAAGTATAATTCATTATACTTTATCATATTGTTAACTACTATTCTCTATATATTGCAATTTTATCTGAGTTTTATATTTTATGACACAGTGACAGTTCTTTCTTTACTACTAACGTTGTACTGTTTTGTTATTCACTTTATCTAACTAAGTTCTTGTCTCTTATAAGTCTTATTTTAATTTTAATATGCTCATCTCTTTGCATTTTACCTATGTTTTGTTACACGGCGTAAGTTTCTTCGACAAATAACACTGTACTCGTTTATTACTCACTTTATACAAACATAATAAGTGTATGACCGATTATTTATTGTAGTTAAGTTTCTGCTATCTTAACATGCTATGGCAACAAATGTGGCGCAGTAGTCGGAGGCGCCCTACAATTCACATGGGAGCGATCCTCGCGCCCAAGGCTCACCAAGCCCTTCATCCCTTCGAGGTCGGCGTATTGTTACCAAACTGGTCTGCGAGAGTAGCAGCACTAACTCGACACATCGGTGGACCACCGCGAGTCATTGTAAAAACCAGATATGCATCAAGTCACCTTTATCGATGTTTAATAAAGTTGAATGAATGACGCATCCCTCAGGGATTGATCAACGGTGAGAGCTTTTCTAGCGCTTTTATGATGACAGATCCGGAGTCCTTGTTCGCTATAATTTCTAATGTTTGGCTAGTAACTGAGACAATAATGCTACTTGTTCTTTAAGGAACTGAAAGCCATACAATGCAAATAGCTGAGCACATATCAGTAACGGGAGAACCGTTGACGATTGAACGAACTGATGTGAGTTCTACTCTGTTTCTTTTCTTACAGATTCTTACAGATAGATATTCTACTTTTCATCTATTAGATATGCGGTTATAGGGGAATGTGCAAAATTACTGGTTCTAAAATGATCTAGTTCAAATGAATCGAATTATGTATATATCTGCACAGGTGTCTGCATTCGTTAAGCCAGAAGAATCTGTAGTGAGGCTAATGGATATTCCGGATCACATTGTTCTAACAGGTGGAGACGGCTATAAGAGTGCTGTTTCTCAACCGTATGATATAATCGAGAACCACAGGCTACCCGACAAACAGGTAAGCTATAAAATGCTTTTGATATTCAGCAGAAGACGCAGTGGAACTCACTTGTAATGGGTCCACTTTGTCATCCATTCCGTCATAGTTGGATTATCGATTCTCCGTTTGCCAACGACTATCCTTCCACATCCCATCTCTTTGAAGTGGCGGACTTTTCTCTACGAAGATTGCAATTAATTAAACCTTTTCAAATCGTTTTCTTGGAAGACTTTGTAAAGTCAAGTCCGAATTAGACGGCTCATCGGATACGCAGATGAAACATTTATCCGGAAACTTGTCTAAATTGTTGGTTTTAGTCTGATAACATTTTCTTTTTGTTATAAGGATTGTGTACTGCTGTTCTGTTTGACAATTTGTACCGCGTGCAGGAACGACAGTGCTAGCCCAAAGGGACAAATCGCATAAATGTATTTTCCCATCGTACTTGATCACACCCTCTTTTAGCGAAGACATTCGTTTTGATGATATGATGTTGTGCAGAATTTGCATTTCTGTGGTAGGTGTTGTTATCCAGTCATTTCTAGTCTTCATCTGCTATATGTGGTCTTTTTAGATTTGGTTTAAAGACTTACCTTCGAAAATAACCCTTACGGAGACTCCATATCTTGACCGTGATGAGTACCACGCTATGGTTGGTCTTACGAGCTGTCTGTTTCCCATCAGCATCAGTCTCCGGTACTGAAACATCTCAGCTCCCAAGGTTATTATGTGTAAAATCTAGAATGAACACGTGCGTAGTGCGAGTTCCGTTACCGTCGACGAGAATCCACTTCGAGAAATGAAGAAAATGCGCCGACAACTTGGTAACGGTAACCTCCCTTTCTTCCCTGGTTCTTTAGTCTTTCATGAATCTCTTCAACCCTCCATTAACTAGGTGACGTTGCTGGGCGTCTTTACCAGGTCGAGGACGAAATCGAAAAACAGAACTCTAAAGAAAAGGTACGTTGTCGATTCAGCGTAGCCTCCAGATGTTATCTAGTGATATTCTATAGGTTTGCAGCTTCTCTTCGCCACGATATTCGGAGTGGCCGCTGCTGTTCTTTTGTTTTTGTTTCGAAGATAACTTGATTGCCCTTCCACCTGTCTTCCGCTCTTGTCGTTTTAAAGTTCACTTTGTTATTTTCTGTATTGGTACGTGTATAAATCATTTGATGAATTCCAGACTTTTCTTCTCCGGTGACTTATTGGGTGGGCTATCCTTATTATCGTAATTATCTATTTATTTGTTACAATCTATTAACGTACGTACGTAGTTGTTTATGTTATCAACTGTACTTTCTCCATTGTGTTTTTGTATTCGCCAGTTGTACTTTTTTGTCAAAAAACTGTTAGTTGTCTCGTTGCAGCAAAAACCAGTCAGGAAGGATTTCATTTTACTCAAAGTTTTTTCTTTGGTAAATCGTTTTCACAGTATGGTTTAGGATGGTCGGCATACGTATTCTCTCAAGTCTTTCCAGGCGCTGTGTGTCAGGTTGGAAGCACTACTTATTCGCGTTAATGAGACGTCATTGGGGTTTATCTCTTTGTCGACCAGCAAGATGAATAGTGATCGATGGTAATTTTTAGTGTCTGCGAAAGCTAAAAGTGTCGTCAGCATTGGTTCTGTTCGTCTCACAGTGAGCAATCCTATCCGTCCAGAATTGACTCCTGCTCGATTTGGTGGTAATTTTTTGGAGTTCATGGATTCTCTAATTTATTTGTGATATTTCCGTCTTCTATATACTCTTCACATTTTAGAATCTGGAGTTCAACCTCCTGTGGAAGTTATTTCTCATTTAAAATGGTTGTTACAAAAGGAGATTTTGGGTCAGGATGTATTTTTGATTGGGGTTCCTGGTGCACTGCGATCAGAAATAGTTTTTCGCTATCTGGTTCGTGTCTGGATATACATATATGGTCTTTTCTTGGTTTTTCGTCTATTATTTTAACTAAGGTGAATAGTTAGCATGTGCTTTCAATGTTCTGGTTCTCAGGAGTTATGCAATCGGGAGTACGAGTACCTTGCTGTGACGCGAGATACGACTGAAGCCGACATCAAACAACGGCGGGAGATTCGTTCTGGCACTGCTTTTTACACTGACCTTGTATGTAATCATTTTCTGTTTTTATTTCTTCCTTCTTTTTTCTTGCTGAGCATTATCTTGGTCAGATTTTAAGTGTGCTGTTCGAGCAGCTTTAAACGGACGTGTACTTGTGATCGATGGTGTTGAAAAAGCTGAGCGAAATGTTTTACCAATACTTAACAATCTACTGGAGAATAGGTCTGTGTTTTTGCTATCAGTATGGACTTAATTTTGCGTAATTAAATGAAACTAGACTAGGTTTTGATGTGATTTTGCAGAGAAATGCAGCTGGATGATGGACGTTTCCTGATGAGACCTGAGAAATATGATAATCTTACAAAGGTGGCACTCTACCACTTGAATCCCCTCTCTTTTTATTTTTCTGGCCATCGTCACTTATGTTTAGGACTACACTATAGAAGAACTTAGGGACATGGGGATCGAAAGGGTATCGGAGCGCTTTCATATCATTGCTCTAGGCCTTCCCGTACCTCGATTTCATGGAAATGCGCTTGATCCTCCGCTTCGATCCAGATTTCAGTGCCGCTACATCCCTGAATCCTCCTTTGAGGTACGTCTCAGGTTCCCTTCCTTCTATTGATCTTTGTATTCTGCATTCTGTGTCGTTAGTGGATCCTTCTGTTCACGTTGGGTAAAATTTAGAGTACTCGTCGAACATGTGATGATGTAGCACCCAGTGTGTCATCAAAGTCGATCAACGACTTGCTGTCAGTGATGTATGCCATAAATTCACAGTCTGATTTGGGTCTTAGTCTTGTTCCCATAGAAAAAGCCGAGAGAATAATGCGGATATGGGTGCGTTTCTTCTTATTTTTATGGAATGCTCATTACCTTTATATTTCATACATACTTTGCTTTAAAAGACATTAACGCAACGAATTGCTCGTTTCGGATAGGCCAGTATTACTGACACTTTTTCATTTTGCTGGACATTCTTTTAGTTTCTTTCTGAAACGAGCTCTTTCACAAGTTTTCTGTCCTTTTACAGATTCGTTTTGTTGTTCAGAACCTTAATCCGTCATATTCAACTTTGCACGTATTCAACATGATTTATCCGTACAGAAGTATGTTCAAAGATCACTACGTAAAGATCACACAAGACTTCATAAAGAAGTTCATTTCCCAGGTTGGTAGATATGCAGAATATTTTGTTTCTTTAGTTACTTCTACAGTAGGAATACAGGAAATAGGTCGGACTGCTGTCAGATTTTAGAAGGACATTTCTTGGAAATCCAACATGTCTATATATCGCGTTCGTTCATTAGGAGAAAACACAAGAAAAGTAGAAATATCTATCGAACATTCAGGGCAACTGCAAACTTTTACGGTGGGTTTTTTTGTCTTATAAATATTCGGAATTCGATTTAAAATTTTATTTATGTGCGGACATCTTTGATTTCCAGTATAATTAAGGTTTCAGACGGATGTAAATGGCAATTTTTGCATGAAAGAACGTGGTTTTATTTCTACATCGCAGCATGAGGCTCTGCTTGCTGACCTTGCTGTTGCTCATTCACAAGGCGACTTTGCTTTGCTTGGTAAAGTTGCATTATTTATTGGTCTGTTTGGTGTTACATAGCGGATCTTATTAAAGGTACCAAAGGAGCCGGAAAAACAAAAGTGATTTGCGAACTTGCAGCTCGATTAGGATTCACGACTGAGACGATGGTATTGTATCAGGTGAACTAAATGCCAAGACGTACAAAATGTAGGGCATGGTTTCACGTGAAAACTTAGTAACGATTGGAGCCTATTTTTTAACCAGAAGCTGTACTTTATGAGTTTATTTATATGAAGGACATGAATGCACGTGAACTCCTTCAACGCCGTCGGATGCTGGATAACGGCGATACCTTGTGGGAAGACAGTCAACTAGTTACAGCTGCTAAACGAGGAGATGTTTGTGTTCTCGACGGAGCAGAGAGGGTACTTTTCTTTCTATTCTATCTAACTCATGTCTTTATCTTTGTTTATTCTTTTTTATGCTGTAGGCAATAGAAATATATTTTATGGACAATATCGAGGACAGTTGCTGGAATAGCTCTTATGCTTTAGCTTCACTGGAGCGCACTTGAGTCACTCGCCTGTCTCTGTCATCATCGTTTGTTATTTCTACCTGACGGCAGTCGTCTAGTGGGAACAGAAGAGTTCGATAATATTCAGAAAAAGACTGGAAATGATGAAGCACATTTGAACGCAAAGTACAATTGAAGAGGCCCGTAGGGTTGTTGTGTTATTGTACTTTCATAGATTTGTTTACGTATTTCAGGGGAATATTTCGAATACCAAAATCGTTCCGATTAATTTTAAATGGCGATTCACTTCCAACTGAGCAACCATGGTTAAACGAAACTGTCGTCACTCTTATGCCTTTTCTTACGCTACAAAAGCTCAGCACTGAAGACCAGTGTACTGTACTAGAAGGGTGTGTTCATTCCATAATTAGAGCATAATTAAAGAGCTTTTTGAAGGAGTGCTCAGTAACGCACGGATGCGCGGAAAACTTTATCAGTTTTTCGTTTCAGCTTGGTGCCTGGGGCTAGTGATATTGCCCGAAAACTGGTAGAATTCGTGGAGAAGTTGCGATCTTCTGGCGATGCTGCGGTCAGTTTCTTCTAACGATCATTCACAAAACTGATTACCATACTTCCAAATCAGTGGTGGGATGTGAGAGAGGCGTGCATCTTTTTACTAATATAGTTGTAGAGTTAGCTAAAATATTCTGTATGCACTTGTATTTTTCCGTGGGCAGATGTCATTGATATGCATTTGTTCTCTTTCATATGTTCTGTTCTTCTGAAAACTTCATGCACATGGGTCTGAATTTCTTACATAGCTACAGCAGCAAAAAATTAGCTTCAGAGGTAACGTTGATTACGAATATAACTTTTCTCGTGGTTGAGGAAGTACGTTCTTCTTCTTCAATGAAACACAGGCGCTCTGTGGTTTTTTTCTTTCTTTGAGATCGTTTGACTTCTCGAAAGCCTTTTCGAATTCATCTTTAGTCTATGTTAGTTTCTACGCTTGTCTGATAGTATAATTAGCTCCTTGATATTTCGCTTTATACATTTTTTTAAAAACGCCCTTCTTTGGAAGCTTGTGCTACGAAATATATCTCACTGTTAAGTGTGCTGCATGATCCTCAGAGGGATCTTGCGTTCTTCTTTCTCTGATAAGAATCTCTTGCTGTCGGTTTGTGGTTGAGGTCAATAGGTGTTCGAAGGAGTTCGAAGGAAAGAGTAATCGAAATGAGTACAAAACGGTTGTTCTGAATTCTATGTTGAGCGCGCTGTTGTAAGATTATGCGCACAGTTTACGAACTAATGCGTGGAAGACTGAGAGTTTTCCCACTCTGAATTCAGATATTTTTAGTAGTTCCTGGTGTTTGCACGATATCAGCTGCATATCTCGCTTTGAAACTGAAGCTCCACCGTAAATACTATTAGCTCCCACCTTTATGCAAAATGGTCTGAGGGTTCTGTGTTGTAGATGATGAACTGTCTTCATGCTATATTGTAGACGTTGTATTCGTCCATAGTCTTCAAGATATCCTGACGTTATTTGGTAACATTTTGTTGGTTCTTGTAATATTCGACTTAAGAGACAACAAAGACCAGCGAGACTGTATCATTCTTCAAGAAGGGTGGTCTACACGGTATGTCGTGTCGCTTTTCTCCAATCTTCTTGCTGTCTCTCATCTGCAAACTTTTCGCTCGACTCTAAACAAGATTGACAGAACACTGGATGAAAGACAGCTATTTGAGCAAGCAGGGTTTTAAAAAAGACTCACTACCAAGAGATTGATTTATCTCACTTTTCTTGGTTTAATGAAAGCTTTTCACAAAACAGATAGAAGCAGTCATGGAATCCAGGACAACCAGGGTGTCCCTACTCAGTATACAAAGATTCTTTGTGAGTTATGTAAACATTACGCGACCAAAATGTCGCCATTCTATAACGGCATTGATATCGACGTCAAAAGAAGGGTTAGGAAAGACAGTACTAACTTGCCAAATATGTATACTACCACCCTTGAAAAGGTATTGCGAACACTGGGGTGGAACAACGTGGAAGTGAAAATCGATTATCGGTAATTACACCATCTTCGTTTTGCTGATAACATCGTTCTTGTACCAAGTATGAACCAGGCAGAGCGAATGCCAGCCGACTTTTATAATACTCATGGAAAGATTGGTCTTCGACTATGCCCCATTCACGCTGATTGGGAACGATTATCTCCGAATGCTCCACCTAAACATTGCTAGGTCGTGAAATTAGCATGGTAGGGCACCAGCTCTAGAGTTCAGCAGGACCAAACGAGCGGTTTGAGGAGCTTTTAAGAGCATCGAGGATGTAGTGAAGAAAACAAAGAACACCTGACTCCGTGCCCACCTTTTCGACTCCACGGCTCCTCCTGCCTTAACGTATGCGTCAGGAGCCTGGTCGCTGCACAAGCAGGATAAAATCCCACTCATCGTTGTTGGAGCATTATTAGTGACCAGATTCTTTGGAATTTCAAACGCATTGCAACAAGTTAACTGGTCGGCTGGCCAGATTTCTTTACAAGAACGCTAGACGAAAGATATGGTGCTCAAGGGGTCCCTAGAGCAAGCATAACCCACTACACTACTCTTCCTCGCAGCAAGACGAAATGTGAAGATTTATTGGCGCTCACTCGAGTCACTCGACGGTTATCGAAGCGGCAGGTGGTACAGAAGAATAGACAGCAAGGCTGAGGGTGGGTTGGCAGTTTTATTTGCTAGGTATGCTTGTTAAGTTTCGCGAGTGTTCTACCATATTTGACGCAAAACATTTCTGGACAAGTTTTACAGTCGCTGTCCATTTCTGCTCAAGAGTAAAGGTGATTCAGTCTTAGCTGAATTTGAGCTTTCCTAGATATCTCTTGTTTTGCATGCGTGAGCTTTCTAACGTTAGTCATCCATGTCGTTGACTTTTGAAGACTTAACAATACATTTATAAACCTGATTCCATCAAACTTTGATAATCTGTCGTCCCATTGATCGTCGAGTGATTTGAGCGGGCGCTAGCAAATTTTCTCATATCTCTCTGCTATAGCGAAGAGTAGTTCAGTGTTTTCTGCTCTCTCTAGGGACTTGTAAAGCATCATAGCTTTCTTTTAGGCTTTTCGTCGTGAGGGATCGAATCGGTGGTCGTCCTGCAGTGCGCTTGACATCCCGAGGAATCCAGTCACTAGCGGCTCTTGTCCATCGGTTGTCGTTCATACGCATTACATATCCGGCCCACCTTATCTTCGCCCCACTTGTGTGACACGAGATACTTATACCATCATCCTTTCAACTGCGCGTGCAATAACGCTGACTGTGCTTTCGTACTGCTTACGGAGAAAACAGGTTTCTGACGCTTGCGTTAAGGCAGGAAGAATCGTGGACTGGAAAAGGTGGGCACAGACCTGGGTGTTTTTTGTTCTCTTCACTATATCCTCGATGTTCTTGTAAGCTGCACAAGCCTCTCGTTGCCTTCTGCTCAGCTCTGGAGCCAAGTCGTGCATCATGTTGATTTCCCGACCTAGATAGATGTAACTGGAGCATTTCGGGATATTCATACCGTTCATCGTGAATGGGACATACGAAACCAATCCGTTCCTCATGAACATTGTTTATGTGAGATTTAATTGTAGACCGATCTTTTCATAGGCTTCATCGAAGTCGGTAAGCATTCGTTCCGTCTGGCTAGTGTTTCATGTTATAAGAACAATGTCGTCAACAAAGCCAAGTTGATATAATTGGTGGTCATCGTTTTCCACTCCCATGTTTTGAAATTCCAATCCAATGTTCGCATGATATTCTCGAGGGTGGCGGTAAATAAATTTGGCAAGATGGTGTCACCTTGCCTAACCTCTCTTTTGACTTCTATGTTAATGTCGTTGTGAAATGTTGATATGTTGGTTGAGAAATTTTTATACAACTCTCGAAGAATCTTTGTATATTGAGTAGGGACTACCTCACTATCCAGGGTTTCCATGACTGCTATCTCAGTTGAGTCAAAAGCTTTCCTCACGTCGATGAAAGTGAGGTGGAGCGGTCTTTTGTACTCCTGCGATACTTTAGTGAGTCTTGTTGTGGTAAGGGTGTGGTCAATCGTGCTGAACCCTTTTTGAAACCGTACTTTCTTGCATAGCAGTATTTCGTCCAGTGTTCTGGCAGTCTCGTTTAGAATGACTCAAGTGGAAAGCTAGTGGACCACAGACATCAAATGGATTGAGCGATAGTTGCAATTATCGTGGAGGTTACTTTTCTTGAACATGGTATTGCTGGTCTTCCACTGAGTAGGGACCTTGCATTGAGACAGCTAACATGTGAAGAGCCTAACCAGTGTGTATACGAGGCCTGGGGGAAGGTTCTTTAGGTGTTCAGATCTTATCCAATCCGAACCTAGTGATGTTCGATTTTTTACCGACGAAATAGCATGTTGGATTTCGGAAGAAAGAACAGGTGGTGCGACACATCCATACTTGTTCGTCTTGAATGATTATCTCCATTGCTTTCTGAACGCTGTAACTGTTCCGTTTTGCCTTCAGAGTGCAGTCATCTTGGTTTTGCAATTGGTGAAGCTTTGGTTGATTTTGCGAAACTTTTTCCCAGCCTCTGCAGCTTTGACCATAATTGCTGCTCTTCTCTATCAAAGATTTTCTTTTATCGCCTGTCTGCATTGTTTAGCATGTTCGGACGTGAGTTTGTCGTTGCCTATAGCTCGTGCGATTCGACGTTGACGTATCAACTTGAATGCTTCTCTTACAGACTTCCGGATTCTAAGAATTCAAAGCACGGATTTAAAAATACTGAACCTGCCGATCGTGTGTGTAGTCGATGCTGTTAGTTATGACCTCTTCTTAGGAGCCGACCAGTGATCTAAAGAAATTCCAGTGTATGGTGATTTTAGGATTTGGCTCTGATCTTTTCGGCTTTCTCTCTTTTGCGCGAGAAATGAGTCCACATGTGGAAGCAGCCATGGTCTGGCCCAGTGTAGAATTTTTGAACAACAGCGACATCAATTAGGAAAAGACTTCCATTAATTATGATGTGATCTACTTCGTTATGATACTCTCCAATGGGAGATTCCTATTTTCAGGCTTGATAGCAGAGTTTTTGGAACTATGACTTACCATCAAATGGTCGTCTTGATAAATAAGCTCAGACAGCCGCTTGCCCTGCTCTTGCTGTTCTAATCCGTGCTGCCAAGGTGACATTCCTCAGACTTTCTTCTTGGTCCAATCTTGGCGTTGAAATCTCCAATGATGACCTTGAAGAATGTATGGTTTTCTCTGTGGAACTTCTCCAAGTCCATATAGAACGCTTCGACTTCTTCTTCGTCGTAACTCGCGTAAACGACGAATATTGACGAAGCCGGTATTGATCCACATCTTTTTAATCGTAAACGTCCGATTCGGGTTGTTAGTTGTTCGATTGAATCGATGTTCGTGGAGAAACTCGTGTTGACGAGAACGCCGACGCCGCCGACTCCTCTACTGTCGCATGTTCCGAGGAACAGTTTTTCTTCGATATCATAGACGACGCTGAATTGGTGGCGTGGTCTCCTCTCGACCAAGCCGATGACGTCGTACCTTATCCTTCTTGTCGGCATGAACAAGTCTTCTATCAAGGACTCAGATGCAAGTGTACGTGCATTGTTGATGCAGATCGTCACCTTAGTAATTTACGATTTAGGCAACTTAGATTCTGAGATTTTGTCGGCCTCTTCGTACTCGTCCTACCCAACGCTGCCCAATCGAGACTCTTTCAGGGTCAGTGGAATGAGGCCCGTTTGTTTTACTGTGTTTAGCACTTTGATACCCACATATCGCTTGCTAGGCTCTGAACGTGAGAGCTCAGTGTACTCACGGGTTGGTTGCCAGTCTCTCCCAGAGTGGACATGAAGCCTATTTGTTGGAGGCGACTCTTAACCGCCTCCCATATATTTCCAGGTCACTTGTTTGCAGGCTTTTGACCGAAACACTCGTGGAATACAATCCGAATAAATGAGGATACACCCACGCACGCATGCATGAATACGCCCTAGTAAGTATAGAAAGCATGTAGCAAATCAGCATAGCGCGAGCAGGGAGTTCATCCCCTGGATCCACTTCTTCTTCGGAAAGCAAAGGCCGCTTTCGATCCGCGATTAACTCCCTCCCGGCCACTTGTTGATGCACCTCGTTGCCTCGCGACTAACCGGCGAGGAATCCCTATATGAAAGAGATCCGTGATTAACTCTGAAAGCAGCAATGAATGTCTTATTGTTTTTATTTATAAGCTAAGACAAAGTATAAAACGTTATTTGGCTCACATTTCGGTGCTTTCGCCTTCTGTAGAGCCGAGATGGTTCGAGTTAATTATCCACACTGAATGCTGTTTCTTAAATGTCTGGTTGCAAACCATTGACGAAAGGTGTGAGTAGAGTGTCATTTTGTTGATCGTTTTTCATCTCTTAGGGACTGAGTGGATCAAATGCTAGTCACATCAGTGAACTTGGGTTTTTTATTTCCGTTGAGTTTTCATTGCACACTATAAATTTCGATAATAGGAATGAAAAATCTCTTCAGCTTCGCGGTGTTGCTCATTCGCTTTCTATGCGAAAACTCATCCACATAGCTAAACGGAATTGCCTACATAGAGGTGAACTTCGAGGGCTTATTGAAAAAGCAGCACTAGCTAGGTAAATTTTCCAATCTTGTCATTTGGTCATAGTTGTCTTCCTTGCTCTTTATACTTTAATTTCAGATTTCTTCCCTCTGTTACTCGCTTAGCTTTCTATAATGAACTTGACAAGGCTGGTTTTGTGAAGGATTCTTCAAGTTGCGCAGGTTTGTCTGCGTAACTTTCACTGAAAAGAGAGGTGTTCTTTGATAGATTATTCGTTCTTTCTTTACAGAATTTGTCGATGACATAAAGTATCTTATGAAGCGGAATCCTCCTGGAAACCAAAATGAGACGATGATACCGGACGTATTATTTTATGAGAACGATCAGGTACTGTTTGCCTCTTGTCTCTTCCTCACTACATGTGTTTTTCTTTGATTTGACGCTCTGTCGTGATCGTGTTATTTTGATCCGGTTCCAGTGGTGTGATGCACAGTCCTGGATTTTAACGCCTGTTACCAATAATTTCACGAAATGCGCATGAGTGCCAAGAGTACGGCGTCATGAGTTTGATTTATTGCTGGTCGGCCTGTTTGTTATTCTCATCGTTTTTGAAGTAGACTTGCTATAGCTTTGTCAGCTACTCACTAAAAACATTCACTTATCTTCCGGATAGAAGGTTTGAGTCGGGAGCAGTTCCAGTAGTTAGTCGAACGCCGTATCGTTTCGGGCGAAATGCGTTAGGCAGAACAAACTTGAAAGTCTGCGAATAAAAAATCCGCTAACCCATGGAAGACGAAGTGATAAAACCTAATTCCTTATATCTTGAGCATGTGAGGTTGCCACTGCAGTGTAGAGCCCATTCATCCTTGTGGCTGACTGCAGTGTTTACTAAACTTGTTGGAGGACCCAAATAGTGTCGTGTTTTTCATATGACGGCCTTATTTTCGCTGTTTTTTTATAGGCTTCCATGGCTACCTCGTCGGCCTTCATAGGGGGCTATATATGCTTGCGCGAGTTTGTTTTGCGGGAGTGGATATGAGACATATTTGTCGGGATGAACTTATTTCACCACATCTTTAATTATGTCATTTGATACCTTTGAACAAGTTTGTGCACAGTGTATAATCCAAGTACATGATTGCACACCCATTCTCGTGTGCATAAACTGGAAACTCATCACTGAATCCATCTAAATCTCAAGGAAAATGCATGGTCACATCTGATCAGTATTTAAAATTCATGCATCATTTATCGATTCACTTCACAATGTCACTGCCAATTGGCTCTTATTCGAGTTAGTTATTTAATTTAATAGGACCACTGGCTCCACAGTCATAGTGATACCATTCAAAACGCACAACGTCCTGGTCCAACCCCTCCCCTCTCTCTCTCTCTCTCGGGCCAACCAAGGTCCTTTCACTCAGGAGTACTTTGAGAAATTAGTAGCACACTCGTCTCGGATCAAGTTACTCTCTCCAGTGTTCAAAGGCTGACGGCTGCTTCTATGAAGATCTAGGAACGCTTAGCTCGACCACCTCAGGGTTTCAGGGAGAATCGACTCGATCAATATTGAACGATATTCATGAAGACCATAATAATATGCAACCATTGAGCCCACAGGAAGAAATTGGAAGATCTCCGTGGAATATGGATGGGAGGAAACGAATCGAATGCAGGAAATGCTGCTGTGATCCAAACAGAATGCGATGTTGGATCGTTTAAAAAATGAAAAAAAAAGTTTATTTGCTAATATTTGTGACAATCGCCGCAGTGAAATGTGTTGAATTTCATTTTCAGCATATGGGCATCATTCGCGATATGGCACGTGATATGAGGTTGGGAGCTCATCTATTGTTAATAGGAAATCAAGGTGTGGGAAAGAATAAAATTGCGGATCGTTTCCTTCATCTTATTCAGAGGCCTCGCCAGTATATGCAGTTGCATAGGTTAGAGTAACCACTTATTCTAACATATTTTGTAGGAGTAATATGTAGTTAGTTTTCGTTGAACTTTTCAAACGATTACTGTCTTCTCTGTTGCAAGTGATTTGTGTTGTTCTCCAGGGATACAACGGTGGAATCTCTTACAATGCAGACAAGTGTTGAAAATGGAGTTTTGCGATACGAGGACTCTGCTCTAGTACGGGCAGCTCGAGCAGGGCATGTTCTAGTCATCGATGAGGCTGACAAAGCACCTCTTCACGTAATCGCTGTTCTGAAAAGTCTTCTAGATTCAGGTTTGTTGTTAAATCAAGTATAATGGATTAAGAAGATAAACATAAAGCTTTCGGCGTTGATCAATCTCAGAGGGGTGCGGCATGCATTCAATTTCATTAAAAATCGTTGGAGGTGATGGAATGCATATCTGGTCCTAACAATGACTCGTGGTGGCCTACCGGTGTATCGAGCCAGTACTATCCTCCCAGACATGCCTGGTACCAATTTCCCGACCGTAGAGCAATGGAGGGTTTAGTGGGCCTGGGGCACGGGGATCGATCTCATTGCACAAAGTGAAAACATGTACTGAAATGTTCTACACCCGTTCAGTCTGAAAAAACTAGCGCTACAACAGCAATATAGCGGAACTTGCCAGCGCATAATCTTAAGGAACGAAGCCGCTTTTCATTTCATCCCAATTATGGTTTCTACGAATACTTTTTCATCGAACGGGTGTAGAACATTTCAGTACATGTTTTCACTTTGTGCAATGAGATCGATCCCCGTGCCCCAGGCCCACTAAACCCTCCATTGCTCTACGGTCGGGAAATTGGTACCAGGCATGTCTGGGAGGATAGTACTTATTTTGCATACTACGATTTCAGGAACACTTTTACTGGGCGATGGTAGAAGAATTCAACCAGCTTCGGCCCCGGTATGCGAACGCAGCATACCACTACATCTTGAATTTCGAATCATTATGCTAGCGAATAGACCAGGTTTTCCTTTTCTAGGTAGTTTTTCTGTACATCGTGATCTTTTTCCATGTATTTCATCCTTATATTGCCTGTGATTCAGCGGTCCCGTTTCCTAGGTGTAAATAATGATTTTAAGGGAACGACTTATTTGGTGTGCTTGGAGATCTCTTTTCTGTGCACATTGTGGAGAACCCGAGTAGAGAGAATGAGCTTGAAATGCTGAAGAAGTACGCTCCAGGTATGTAACCATCGACATTAATTGTGACTGAATATCTTCTAAACCCGTTTTATAGTCAAATGACCAACGATGATGTTCGTATTTAAGTAGGGATTACATAGTCGAATTACGAAATTGGGGACTAATCCAGTAGTTGAGTTAATAATTAATAAATTTACCATTCAGATGTACCAGATGCTAACCTTCTTAAGCTTATGGCAGCGTTTACGGAATTGCGCGAGATGGCTGATGAAGGCTTGCTACAGTATCCATATTCCACAAGAGAACTCGTGAACGTTGTAAAACATATCAATGTAAGCTCATGGTATTATTGTGTATAAGCTTGTTAGGCTTTTCCTGCACGTATTAATCCGCTATCTTATACGAAGTTCTTAGAAGTTCCCTACGGATTCACTCTCGACGGTAATAAAAAACGTTTTCGACTTTGATACGTTTTCTACTGAAGCAATCAATACGGTCCGAGAAGTTTTCCTCAAACACGGAATTCCTTTTGGTTAAGTGGTATTTTCACAAAAATATTTGTAGTTTGTCTTTTTAAAGAATAAATATTTTCTTCACGTTTAAACCTGTGTCACATTGATAATCCCGAAAATGGACATGACTAGGTTAAAAAGCTGCGACCTATTCTAGGTATTGATCATCTCTCTGAACGTGTATTTCTCTCGCACCGATTTCTAATCGAACCTCCATCGCGGGTCGGTGATTGGGGAGTTCGCGATGATGTTCCGCCTGTGGATGTCAGAGCAGTTCAAGAACCTATCACCATTAAGGTACACATTAACAATAAACTACATGAACAGGTTTTTTCAATTTTTTAGTGCTATGAAAGAAGATGGGTGCATGTAACGCAGGAGTTATAAGAGCCCTGTAGTATGGACGTGGTCTTTGGTTCGATCCCATATCCTGGTTAACTAAGCCTCTCATCTTCTCTAGCTCAGGATATGAGTGCCAAACTCATCTATAAGTTTAAGAACACTGAGTTGGTGTGTCGCTACAGCTCCGGAAATCACCATCCAGATCAAATGTGCGCCGCTGCTCAGAGATTGATTGACGTTGAATGCTGTATCCTTTTAAACCTTTTACACTTTATGAATGTGAGTAGAATTGCTGTCATGTAGGTGTTTTCCAATGAGTTTTCTTGTTTAGCTGGTGAATCTGTGTAAAGCGCCAGAGTTGAATAGTAGAGAGATGCCTGTGAAACACAAAATATTGCAAGACTTGTAAAAAAAAACTAGGATCAGCAACTAAAGTATACCCCTCGGTTGGTTAGTTTTTCGTATATATATATATATATATATATATATATATGGAGGAGAGGAATAGCTATGCTCTTATAGTTCATTTTACTTAATCCAACATCGCATATCGTGTGGATCCCACTTCCTTCATTCCGTTCGTTTCCTCGCATTTATCCTCATACGGATTTGCTTATGCCTTCGGCCGCTGCTTTAGCATTGTCGTTTCCATCATTGTTGTTGAATGCTGGTCTAGTAGATTCCTCCTTGAATTCTGGGAACCGTGCTAGACCTTTCCATGCCTTCACCACAGACACTCAGCAACCTTTGTGGATCATTGAAAGACATTACTGAAGTCATTCATACACGGATCATTGGAGGTTTGGCTTCAATTTCCAAACTACGAAAGCAAGAAAATTCAGTTGGCCCTGGGTGGGGTTGAACCACTTCATTGTACGTATTATTGAACGGCATCTCTGTTTCTGCATTACCCGCACCCGGAACAGCTCTATAGATACGTAGGTAAAATGGATATTTGTAAAATTTGAATTTCTCGCTTTAGTGTCAAAACATTTAGACAAATTACGTCATGTGCATAGTTAAGTTGTTAATACAGTTTGTTTGTATATATCAGCGCCGATGACACCTTCTTAGGCGGAATTCCCATTTATTCGCAAGCCTTTGAAGCTTGATAAGGAACACATGCGCAGCAAGCAGTTCACGGAACAGGCAAGTCATTTGTGCTTTAGGCACTGTACAACCACCGTACAGCTGTTTCCAAGTAAATTTGATTCATTTCAGGAATGTGCTTGGCAAATCCCTATGCTTGATGTAAACATATGCTCGGATGGACTAGTGAGCGGAAACACATTAATAGTGGCAACGGTAAATCCTCCACGTCTCTACATAATTGAGAGCATCGATGTATCAAATGAGGTACATTTGTTTTAATGATCGCCGGCGATCTTTGATACAATAAGTGTAGACAGCCTGAGAGAAGGGCAAAAAGAGGGACCTGCATGTTGTGATGGTGAACACGTTAGCCCCGGAAAGGGTAGCAGCGAGTTCGATCTCCACCACAGACACCTGCGGTCCGAAGTTTTGCAAATAACTAAGCACAATTGTGGTCATAAGTGTAGTTATTTTCATACATTCTTATGTTGCTAGCACTTACTAAGCACATTACAGCAATCACGCAGAAAGACAATCTTCACTCGTTTTTTCTCTTCCCTTATTGTCAGTGTCTTTTTTGAACAATGTGAAGTCAGAACTTGTTCAGTGCAACTTTTTCCCTATCGCGAAAACGTTTCAACTTTATGTCGTGTCCATTTAACAGGTTTATGAGGTCGATATCTCAGGAATGCTGCTTTCATTTCGGCAGCTTTTAAAATATCAGCCAAGGATAAAGCTTGCTAGATATGGTGAACACTTAATTCTGATTCATGAGGAAGTTGTGAGTTTTAGGTCATAATTACTTACTTCGATACTTGAATGGCCCGTTCTCACTTGCTGTGCTGATCCCAGCATAATCTCCACGTTTTCGGAGTTTTCTGGTTTAGCCATTGTGGTTTCCTGGAATTCCGAAGTGAGCCAGGCCAAAGTATTCCTGGTCGTCATCACCGCAGGCATTCGCTACCCTTGTGGATCAGGGAGATTTGCCACCATGCGACTAGTTTGGTACTAGGACAGTGATGAATCCTGGTTTTGGTTTACTCTTACTCTGGGGTTCCTGATGGAAACGCCGGATTCGTTCTCAACTTTGGGGACCTGGCCAAGGGGATGAATCTCTCCGTTGTACATCGCAGACCGGCACCCAGGAACACCTCCCTACTACGATGACGCGGTAAACCTTTGGGAGGAGTCATCATTATAATTATGAATAGGCTTCTTATTTTCTTTCCGCTGAAATGTTCGAAATTTAGACAAATTCCTTATGTATAATGGATATGAAGAAAGATCTGATTCAACATGTGGAAGTGGAGTGCTCGACGTCGAAGAAATTAGCAAACAGTAGGTGTTACTGAAACTGTATTTGCTAGCTTACATTTATTATTATTCCCCATATTCTGATCTTCGTTTTCAATTGGGAACTAACCTGTGCGACATTCATATAACCTTTACTGTTGCTTTCTTCTTTATTACAGTGTGCGAAAATAAGGAATATCGCCTAGTACGTGCTCATAATCCCCTTCTGTTCGCACGTAATGGAAAGGAAATTATCCGCTTCGGAAATAATGGCATTCTTACGCACATAGAAATCCACAATGATATCACTAACATATTTCCAGTAGATGAAGGGAAAGTTCTGGTTAAGGGAAAGGTTAGTTTTTGCATGCTTTGATATTCTGGCATCCCAAATTAGCAAACCTCTCATCACAGATCTCTGTGATAGTTATTGTTCGAGAACTGGAAATATTTCTAGCATAAGACGGGAGCCAATGTATAGCGTTGTCTATACTTATTTACTTGTGTACTTGGACCATTGTTGGGAGTTTTGCTGTTTAGCCATTATGTATCCCTGGAGTCCCGAGATCAGTCTGGCCAAAGTCTGCTCCAAGTCGTCACCACCATAGGCAGTCGCCGCCCTTGCGAATCAGGGAGGTTTTCCACCATACGACTAATTTGATACCAGAACGGTGGTGGATCCTGGTATAGGTTTACTCTTAGCTAGGCTTCCTAATGGAACCGCCGAACTCCTCAGCTTGGGAGACCCTGCCGGGGAGAAGAATCCCACCGCTGTACATCGCAGCCCGAAATCCAGGAACACCTCCAGCCACGGTGAGGCGGTAAACCATTAGGATGAGCGTTGTCTATAAACCTTGACAACAACATACGTCCTTGCTAACAGTGAATTGGTGGTGGTTTCCTTACAAGTTATCACTTAAACGCGCTTAGTTTTCAACTGAATACACTGTTTGAAGGTTTTTGCCAGAAATCGCTCAATGTTTTCCCTACGAAAACCTCACTGAGAAACATGGGAATCTTTTCATCTTTTTTTTGAGGATGGTGATTATTATCTTCTTTGCTGTGAAAATGGCCGTTGGAAGATCCGACTTGTTGACATGAACCTCACCGTAGACATTGACGGTTTATATTTGCATGAAAACTCTGTCTTTCTATCAGCCGAGGGTTTCTATTATCTCAGAAGTTCTGGATTTCCACAACTTTTGGTGAGTAGTTTGGCCCTTTTTTTTGTTGAGATCCATTTCACTGCTTTGAGACTTAGAGTAAAACCGAAGTGGTCGGCAGTATAAGGAACACATCTGATGTGGTAGATGCACGTCGTCCGCACTACCTTTCGGACGAAAAGACCAAGCAGTTTATGGATTTCAATCGGAATTTGGTAGTTCTTCGTGATGTTGTTGTTGTCAGGGCTCAACCGAAGTGGAATGTTCCGAAAGATGTTGTGGCTGATGGTTAGATTACTTTTATTACTCGGTTTAGTGTAGTGGAGTGTGTGATTAGTTCCCAGGATCGACTTTCTATTAACCTGGGCATTGGAATATGAACGCGTCGTTTTCTTGTACAGCAATCGCGAGGTTTTCGCGATTGCTGAACAAGAAAGCGACGCATTGTGTGATTAATGTCTCTTCTGATACAATTTGCCAGAGGTTTTCATATTCCATACTAGGTAATGTCAATGTTCACAAAATCGGAGGTTTCTTGGAGGCAGTGGATTCAATCAGTGGCTTTGTTCAGTACATTCCAGTTGCTGAACCTTTTTATCAGAGTTATCATGGGTGAGGATTGGTATTCTGTTGTTGATAAAAGTAATTGTAAAATCGTAAGCACTTCAGATTCTTTCCGTGTTTTTTTTTTCGCCCAAGAGCTACTTTTCCAGCACATGGTTAGCAACAATCGCTCCAACACCTTTTGTTATAGTACCTTATAATGACGACAGAATACTGACGGTTGATACCAGCGGTGGAATACGTTCATTTGAATTCTCTCCATCTACACTAGGAAAATCATACAGAGAATGGACGCATTTAGTTGGAGGTAAGTGCAGAAGTAAAAATTTCTCTGGAGCTAGAAAATACGCTATGAGGTTTGTATTCGTCCTAAAGTCTTTACTATTCTATTGCAGGTGCTGAAGATAACGACTTACGGATTGAGTTCGAACGTGATCCTGGTGCTTTTGACATATCAAAACTTAACGATCCTAAATTGGGGAAATTCGATCCATTTAATGCTCCTCATCACGGAGGTAATCAGTGGATGGGAGGAACTGGTGGATACTCAACAGCAGGCTTAGGAGGTGTTGGTGGGCCATTTAGGTGAGAGGCGTCCTGCCATTTATTGATTTCTTGAGGAAGAATTTCACTAATACTCTGTAGCAGAATACTTCTTGGTTCCTCATGCTGTTATTCTCAGGCTAGATGCTGGCCACGACGTACACCAAATGCCTGAGTCAGCTAAACGACAAGTACCTGAGCACATTCTCAAAAAGGCCAGAGAAATAGCCAAAGCTGAATACCAGAAGAAACTTAAGGCATGGTTTTCGTTTTGTACTTTTAAACATATTTCGGAAAAGAAGGTACTATAAATGTTGGAAGGCGCTATGAGTCATGGAAAATACTATTTTCTCACATTCTACGTTCATCAGGCTCGTGAGCTTATGTACAGGAAATGTTACTTTTGTTTTTAGTTCTTCTCACTTTTTTTGCCATAGACGATTTGTTGAGCAAAAGACTTAACTGAAAGGTTCCTACATGTGATGTATGGATCATATAGGGTACAAGCTCAAATATAATGCAAAGTGGCATGATAGAGGAACTGAAAGAATTAAAAACAAAAATTGATATTTTTTTGTTTTAGCTTTCGTGTATGTACCCAAACCATCTCCAGAGGAAACTGATAAGTTTTGCAAAATTATTAAACTTATGGCATACAGGCGAAGCGAAGAACCCGCATGGTGTAGTGGTGAACGTGTTAGCGCCCTGAATGTAATAGCGCGTTCGTTCCCAACCGCAAACACCGGTGGTCCGAAGTTTTCCAAACATCTCACCATCATCGTGGTTCTATTTTACATAATGCACTGCCGTGAAAAGCTGTAATAGGCTGTAAATAAAAAGTTAACATATTAAACTTCTATTCATATTATAGGACATTGCAATGTCAGAGTATGATGACGATGCGTACATGTCCGTTTGGAACAAAATCGAAAAGCACTCTAGTCATCTTCGTTCAATTATCGAACAGTTAGAAGCGAAGAGAAAGGAACGACAATGGACTCGTCATCAGACTTCTGGCGATCTAGACGATGGAAAACTTATTGAGGGAGTAACTGGCGAAAAAAATATTTACAGGTAAGAAAAAGAAGAATGATTCTGTCTTTTTGTTTTACTTTTACGTACTCGCTACATATTTGCAACCATTCCAGACGTCGTTTGGATCAGTTGCCTGAAATTGGCTCACCACTTTTAAAACCAAAACGGATGCGTTTATGTTTTGATGTGTCCGGATCAATGTATAGGTTTAATGGATATGATAAAAGGCTTCAAAGATCTCTTGAAGCCGCTCTAATGGTTATGACATCATTTGAGGGAAAGCAAGATAAAGTGGCGGTAAGTTAAGCTTCTCTAATCGCCCTCGTCAAACATACACGAAGCATCTCTTTTTAGTACGACATAGTTGGTCACTCTGGTGATGGTCCGTGCATCAAGTTCATTACAAATGGCCATTATCCAAAGAACAACAAAGAACGGCTAGATATTTTGAAGCAGATGATGGCTCATACACAGGTTAGAAGGAATTTCTGCATTTTGCATTTGACATATGACTTAAGCAGTGATTTGTTCATTTTCTTAAGAGATCCAAACACAAGTTTCTTTAAAGGACTTCGTGGTGCTTAGGCAATAAATATTGTAATGAAAAGTATTTCTCCATATTTAATTTGAAAACGACTAGTAAAAACCATTTCATTTCGGACGTACATGTCACACCGCGATGCAATGTTTGTAGTGATTTTATACATTTATAACACTTTCACTTCCCTCCCAACCGTTTGCCGCCTCATCGTGGGTGGGACGTGTTCCTGGGTGTCGGGCTGCGATGTACAGCGGGGGATTCTTCCCCTTGCAGAGCCTCCTAAGCTGGGAAGGAGTCTGACATTTCCATCAGGAAGCCCAGCTAAGAGTTAACGAATACCACCGTCGTGCCGGTACCAGACTAGTTACATGGTGGCAAATCTCCCTTTGATCCACAAAGGCTGCGTCTGTCGTTGTGACGACCTGGGGCAGACTTTGGCCATGCTGACCTCGGGACACCAGGAAGCCACAGTGGCTAAACCAGCAAAACTCCAAAAAAATGGAGATTTTGCTAGAGCCTGCACAACCAGTGAGGACAGACCATCGAATTATCCAAGTAGGTAAGTAAATAAGTAAATAAATATTAACACTTTGCAGTCAAATTCTGACCGTTTATTTACAAGTATGAGGATTTCTTTTAGTCATATATTGAGAAACGAGTGGAATCAAGACGGTCTTATATGTTTGTGAGCATTAAAATCTCCATATTAGAGGGCGTGTAGCGCAGTAGTCGAAGTCGCCCTGCAATACACACAGGATCGATTCCGGGGCCCAATGCTCACCAAGCCTTCTATCCCTCCGGGGTCAGCAAATTGATACCAGACTTGTTTGGGAGGATAGTAGCACTGGCCCGAATCATTGGTAGGCCACTGCGAGTCATTGTAGAGACCAGATATGCATTTAATAACCTCCAATGATGCTCAATGAAGTTGAAAGAATGACGCATCGCTTAGAGATTGATCAACGCCAAAAGCTTTTTTTTAACGAAAACGCCCATCCTTCATAAATATATGTGGTACTAGTAGCGCCTTTCCTTATTTATCAACGTTATAATTTCAGTTTTGCTCAAGTGGTGACTGTACGGTTGAAAGCCTTGACCAGGCAGTTAAGACCCTCAGTAAAGAGAATGAATGTGACGAACGTATTGTGGTTCTCATCTCCGACGCGAACTTGGATAGATATGGAATATCGCCAAAGAACATTGTGAACATTATGAACAGAGATGACACGGTCAATTCATTCGTTATTTTTATCGGATCACTTGGTCAACAAGCTGAGAGGTGCGATACAAGCAATAAGTGTTTTTGTAGTTGATTTATGTCCTTACCATTCTTTTTCATCTCTTTAGATTACAATCATCGTTACCAAATGGTAGAGCATTTGTTTGCGAAAATGCATCAGATCTTCCAAAAATTATGCAGAACATCTTCACATCAACACTTGATACTTAACAGCGTGGAATATTTGGAAGACTTTATTATTTGAAATCTTCTTATGAACTTACCTAACATAGTGATTTATATCGATATCGAAATACTAGGTACATTGTAAAAGATTTACCTGTTAACTAAATAGATATGACTTGTATCTTGATGTGGGACACTTCCTCGACGGTTGTTGTAGTTGTTGTTGTTCTATGTTTAGCTTTGTTATTACATATGATGTAGTTCATCTTAATCAAGGATAAAGGACAAAGCTTTCAGCGTTGATCAATCCCCGAGGGATGCCTCATGCATTCGACTTCATTGAGCATCTTCGGAGGTGATTAAATGCATATATCAAGCCTTTACACTCACGGTGACGTAGCGATACATCTAGCCACTGCCGCAATCATCCCAGACAATTCTGAAGCCAATTTGCCGACTACGGAGAGATCGAAGGCTTGCAGGACCTGGAGGAGCTGAAAAAGACTCCATGCGTATTGCCTCCAACCACTGTGCTACATGCGCGCTTTGCATGATGTGCACATTTCCAGAACTTACAGCACGAATAGGTTTAATGGAAGAATAATGTTAATCGACAAGCGAATCGATTATCGAAGTCGTGTTTTGTTACTTTGAAATTCTCAGCAACAAAAAAACCAAATATTGCGCAGGTTTTTATTTTATTAAGTGAAATTACTGATTAAAATTACGATTATGCTACTTCAAGTACCAATGCTTGACACTGAGTAATGAAATCATGTAATTTAAACAACATCACAAATAATGAAAGGCAAAAATATACAGCATAGTATTAAAGATGCACATGACATACACTCTGCTCTCTTCATTCTACTAGGGGAATGGCCAGACCACAATTGTGGAAGATGGAAGTGTACTATCATTCTAGGAACCCGTCTAGCAGTTAAAAATTGTTTTCGGAACTAAGGTTCACATATTATGCAATACGGCTGAAGGTTTAGAGGATGATGGAAAATTTATATGAAATACACCTAGACCATTAAGTTTGGTAGGACAGTTTCTTACAATTGTAATAGTTATTTCTGGAATTCGTTAATTATTCAAGGTTGAACTCTGATCAAAAAAAAAAGAAAAATTAGCACGATATGAAATTAGAGTATCAAGAACATTACAGGTCACACTTTAAAGTTCAGAGGGAGATAAAGAGATAGAGAAAGAGTCAGAGACAGACAAAGTAAGGAACGTTCATATCAACCTTTTGATGTTAAATGTGTGGACGGAGTTTGTTCAAGCTGCTGACGACGGACTCTCTCTGAAGAAATTGGCTTTCTTCGGAATTCAGTTATTGTAGCTGGAACTCCGTTCACGACGACCGTTATCTTCTTCGGAAAATTCCTGGAAGTCTACTCTTACTAGGCAATTCTACGCTCACCGTTCAAAAATACAATGCCAATAGAAACCGAGTACATAGTACTGATTTAGACTCGTGGATATTAACTATGATAAATGACAGTACTGATTCACCGTACCAGTGAAAGCGCATCAATATGTCCTTTTTGTTGACATTTCTGGTTAACCATAAGGAATAGACAATTTCTGAGAAAGATATATTAACAAGGTGAACATACCTGTAAATAAGATGATCCGACACTAATACCATTCTTTTACGATTTTTAACCACTCCGCCATGAGTATTAAGGCTACGAACTGCTGAGCCACTTGATGATGACTCTGGTGAATGACGCGAAGTAGAGGGAGATCCAACACTTTGGTATGCACGTCGTTTAAAACTAAGCAAAAATCCTTTACTCTATTACTGTAAACATGAAAATATCTGTGGCAAAATTCTTCTCAAACGTCAACTGAAAGGCAACCATCTAACGAAGGGTTTTTCCTAAACATCTTCACCATTGTTGTATGTATTATTGTATCCTTCTTTAAAGTCTACATTACTATAGTTTGTCTAAGAAGATCGTATCCACCAACGTTTTACATACCTGCTTGCTGCTTTTTCCTGCTGCTGCACGACAAAATTCTGGACCACTTTTTGCATTTGAACGACATTTTCATTTAATCGCGGCTTTCGGGTTGATGTTCCCTTCCTAAAATTGATAGGAATGAACCTCCTAACGCTGTCAGTAGAACTTCTTACTATGAAATACTAGATGAAACTAGCTAATATTAAACTAGATCCCTAAAATTCCTAACCAAATCTCCCTCGAAAATTGACATCTCTGAAAACCCTAAGTAACTAAACAAAACTAAATCTCAATTTATGGACAAAAGAGAACACAGATGTTTAATACATGAGAGCACTTTCAGACCATGAAGGCTTGTTTCTCACCTCCCTTTCGTACTCTCGTCTTAAAATTGTAACAAAATCAACAACTGTCCTTTCCTTTCGTGTGTAAATGACAGAAATCATCGATTCGTAAGTCAAAGAGAGTTAAAATAATAGGTTAAAGAGATCAAAACAGAAAAAACATAGTGGTTACAAACTCTGAAAAATGTCATCAAAACAAAGGCAAAGACAGACAAAGGCCTCACATAGTGTGAAAGGCTTAGTTTACCAACACTCCAAAGGATTTCTACCTGAATTGACTTCCAAGTTATCACACCACAATTCAAATTTCAGGTATGCTCCGATATTACAAGGTGGGTTGCATTCATCTCTACCTGGCACCGATTACCTGGTATATGGCACTCTAAATTTCTCCTTGAATATGAACAGTCAAGATTTCACAAAACTATACTGCTCTCCAACTTATTCTCTGCTTATTGAGAACTCATAGGACGTGCCTGATCTTCTTGCTATCATCTTAATTTTCTGCACAAGTCGCTTACAGGAGCGCAAATATCCAGTTCACACACCAACTGAAAATTCATAGCATGTTTACTGTTATCTCATTTTACAAAAATAGCCGGCTCACAAATTCAGCAACAGTTTATGAAATTTACTCGGATATTAAACGACTTTCTTGCTCTTCTAGCTTAATGATAATTGGACATTGAACAAGTGCTTGTCGTGAACTTCAGTCACAAATTTTGTCAAAGCTTATATAACAAACAGTATAATACGAATTGTAGCACCTCCGCTAGTTAAATCGTTGTCGAGAGATCAGCCGATTTACTGAACTCATTGTCGTCCCAGAAGAATCTGAGTCGCAAGGCAGTAAACTCCCTTTCGATATAGAGAAATCCGCGATACTACTTGTGGTGATGACCTAAGAAAGCTGTAACACGAGGACTCTCTCGTCGCTCTCATATACTCCATCGATTCCAGGAAAGTTCGTTCTTAGCCATGATCCAGCAGCAGCATCAATGAGAATAGAAGTCCACTGTTTTCCCAGTAGAAACCGAAACCAAACAGAAATTCGACTGCCTATCCCGGCGACAGACACAAGACAAAAAAAGGAATGGAATAGATAATCGGGAAGAGAACATGTGAAGATAAGTCATAGAAGTAAGTGTAGTAATGAGAAGACATCATTACGCTCGAAGAACTGTCAATCATGCATAAAATATCGAACTTTAACTATAAGTGGCTACACGAACAGTGTAGTAGGTTTGTATAAGAGTACAAAACAAAATCCAAAAAAGAAAATAAGAAAATGTTTACGAACCTTGTATCACACATCTCACATTTGAAAGCCTCAAACCGATTACGATACGTGCAAACTGTGCATTCCCAGCTACCCGCATCACATTCATCGTATGTAGCAACTACATCATCCTTACGAGAACGTTTCTTACTCGTACCGGACATGACAAGTAATTGACGACGTTCTTTTCAGATGGCTATCACAGTTCTAAGTAGAATAGCCTCTCAAACAATCCAACTGCACTTGTGCTCTTGTCGAGGTTCCAAACGAACATATATCACAGAATACTAAACATGACAGTCGCGACAGTTAAACTGCGTATACCTAAAAAGAACGAAAAACAGAGAAAAATGTAACAACACACAAGTGAAGGGAGTACTAAGATCATGATAGGAAATAACAGTGTAATGAAGCTGAAGTAAAACGTATTAAGGATCTATGAATCATATAGGACACAACAACAGCGGTTCACTCACTTAAGAAATTAAACAATATGACAGTAAAACATGAAAAGGATAAAGCTCTCGGCGTTGATCAATCTTTGAGGGATGCGCCGTGCATTCGACCTCATTAAGCATCGTTAGAGGTGACTGAATCCATATCTGGCCTATACAGTGACTCGCGGAGGCCTCCCGATGTACCGAGTCAACGCTGCTATCTTACCAAACCAGACAGGTCTGGTGCCAATTTGCTGATACCGGAGGGATGAAAAGCTAGGCCAGGGCAGTGGAGATCGATGCCATGTGTATTGCACTGCGCTTCCGAACACTGTGCTACACGCGTCATTATGACGGTGTACGACAAAATTCAAGACAATAAGTAACACAATAAATTATAGACGTTACGGTGAAAAAGACGCAAAGTGGCAAATCGGCGGAAAAGACCTATATCAAATACCTTATGTCAAATGCGAGGCCCATGAGCTAGTTAAACGAATGTTACTTATATAGAAGCTTTTAAAGAAGCATACAAGTATCAAATTCCTAAACAGAGTTAAGATTTGTTCTCTGTTCCGGAATGACGCATTTTACAGCGAAAATCTAAGAAACCAAGCATGTCAATCGATTGAGCGGACAAATCGCCCCTATCCATACGTACGTTCACCTTCACGATTAATACAGGAAAACTGCTGAAACGACGAGAACTCAAGAATTGTTCAGTTATAAACACGAAGAAAAGCAGTTTCGACAAAGAAAACAGCAGTAGTAATAATAATCATTCACATTCACATTAACATTCACAAGACATTACTTAAAAGATTTCGCTGAGTTTATGTATCGTAGACGGTGGTAACGACTTGGAGCAGACTTTGGCTAAGCTGACTTCAGGAAAGCACAATGGTTAAACCAGCAAAACTCCGAAAAAGTAGAACTTATGCTAGGGTCCGCACAACCAGTGAGGACGGGCCACCCAAGTAACCAAGCATGTATGGTAGAAGAAGAACAT